TTGTTTATTGGTCCAGTGGTGAGGAATTTTGTTTTCTTGACAGTGAGATGTAATCCATACTGAAGGCTGTGCTCTTTGATCTTCATCAGTAAATGTTTTAAATTATCTTCACTTTCAGCAAGCATGGTTGTATCATCTGCATATCGCAGGTTGTTAATGAGTCTTCCTCCAATCCTGGTGCCATGGTTTTCTTCATAGAACCCAGCTTCTCGGATTATTTGCTCAGCACACAGGTGGAATAGGTATTGTGAAAGAATACAACCTTGTGTTGGTTGTTGTTGTTATGTGCCGTGGAGTCGTTTCTGACTCATAGCGACCCTGTACAGGGTTCCCGAGGCTGTAAATCTTTACGGGAGCAGAATGCCTCATCTTTCTCCGGCGGAACAGCTGGTAGTTTCGAACTGCTGACCGTGAGATTTGCAGCCCGATTCATAACCACTACGCTACCAGAGCTCCTTGTGTTGGTAGCAGCATCAAATAAAAGGGAGCAATCTACTAATCTACAAACCAGAGAAATGAAAATGTTAAGGGTATTTAATATTCCAAATAGATGGATCTGCAAACTGGGGAAGACCTCATAGATTTCAAATCAAAGACAAGTGTAATACACGCATCAAAGATGAGATCAAAAAAATGAACATCTAAGACCTCAAAATCTGAAAAATATCCAGCAAACACTTCATCAAGAACGATGAAATTTCACATCCACATTGAACAGGAAAGAAGAACTAGGAGTAACATAGAGAGATGATTCAGATAAGGGAGACAAAAAAGTAGGATGACACCCCAAAATAGAAAACCCAGGGCATTAAATTGTAACAAGCAAATACAACATTTAAAGTTGAAAGCAGCGCCTCTGAATTCAAGACATATAAAGCTCTAAGGATGAAGCACAGGGCTGAAGCCAGAAATTCTTCCTGAATCAGACCTAGGTCTGAGAAAATATGGATACACAGTCATATTTGAATGCTCTGTAACAAAAAGGAAGGCATACCAAAATCTAGGTGGAAAAACTGCTCTATCTACACTATCCTCCCCTTCTTGCATAAAAATCTCCTCCTAGTAGCCAAAGAAAACGATCTCATTTAAATGTGAGGAGGAAAAGAATATATACCAATTCCATAAATAATTAGTAAAGTGTAACAACAAAAACAAAAACACAGAAAAGTATTTAAAAGACAATGACCGATACAGGAAAAAGCAATCAAGGATACTGATGATTGGAGCCATGAAAAAGAAAACTAGAGAAATAGGAAAAAATACTTCTAATGATTAAAAAAAAAACACACACAAAACTTTCCTCATATAAAAGATTGAATCCTACTAAAGGGGGTATAACTTGTACTTGGGAAAACTGATCCAAGAACAATCAACAAAATACATCATAGTGAAACTACCGGATTTAAAAGATGAAGACAAATTTTTAAATGCTTGGGAAACCAACAAAAGACTAAATTCTTTATGAGTCGAAGAAAATCAGGAAGGCATCAAATTTGACAGGACCTTTCTCTGCCAGAAAACAACAAAACAACATGTTTAAGATACTTCAGTTAAGTAACTGAAAGCCAAAGGTTGTTTATAACCTGCCATACCGTCCTTCAAATATGAAGGCCAGAGACAGGCAGCGATGAACACGCAAAACAAAAATGAATATAAATATAATACAAAATGTAATATTTCAACCATGATCCCTTCTGAAATAATCTCTAAGGAATCAAGCTTCAGAAAACTACAAAAAGACTGAAAAGGTTTTAACAAACAGCCTGAAGGGCAAGCAAGCACACAGACTTTACTAAATGTCTGTAGCTTAATTCCTTCTTTTTGTTGTTATTGTTGAGTGTCATTGAGTCGGTTTTGACTCATAGTGACCCTGTATAAGGTTTCCGAGGATTGGCTGGTGAGTTTAATACTGGTAGCTTAATGCCTAGTTACTTTGATTATAGATTTTTCTTCCTCATTTCTAAAATTTCTTGATATACCACTTAGTAATAATACATTTATATATCCAATTTCATGCTCATTTGCTTATCCTTTTGGATTTTTACTGTTTATATGCCAAATGAAAAACTACTGATTTCAAGATGGCAAGAAAGGTAAATATGGAATCATAACAGAAATTAAGTCTTTTTGAGGAATAAACAAAAATGTGATGCTAAAACTACAAATTAACTTCACACAGTTAAAATACATTCGATAGAGGTCTAATGGCATAAAAGTCCAATGACAGATATCTGGTTTTGTGGCTTATAAAAATCAAATTAACAGCTAAGAAATAAGAATAGTTATTATCTATATAAAATGATCAATGCTAACCTGATAAGCTCTGTTTATTTGACTAGCTGCCCAACCAGCATATTTCATGTTGTCCTTTTTCGTTTTTGCACTTGCTTTTGGATTAGAAGCAATATGACTTGCAGACTAAAAATAGAAAAGAAACATCAAAAAAAAAAAAAAAATCCTTGTCCTAGTCAAGATAATAAAACACATGTTTGGATATTAATTATGATATGACTGTAGAAATTAGAAAAATTATACTAAAACAATTCTTAAAATGAAAACAAAGTATTTAATATGAAATTAGTGTGAAATATATTTCAAAACAAATAATCCAATGTAATGAAAAAGATATATTAAATAACATCTACAAGTATTTAATTAAATATGTGTCACAGCTCTTAAAGATGAAAATCCCATATCACTTAAATAAAAAGAGCAGGCCAAAGTAGCCTATAAATCAAAAAACACTCTAATACTTTCTTACTACTAAATTATTATAGCTTTTCTATGTCAGAATTACATAATTATTTAAAATTAATGGAAGAAACCTCAAATATAACTTAATAAAGTGAACTTAAAAGCATATGATAATCCAATTAATCCAACTGGTTATTCTTCACTGCTGTCAAGTCGGTTAGACTCATAGTGGCCTTGTATAGGGTTTCCGAGGTGTGGCTGGTGGGTTTGAACCGCCAACCCTGTGGTTCAAACTTGTGGTCCAGTATATTACCCTGCAGTGACACACCAGAACTCCCCAATTTCCTAAGTTGTCATTAGGTGACGTCAAATCGGTTCAACTCATGATGATCCTGTATAGGGTTTCTGAGGACTGGCTGGGAAAGTTTGAGCTGCCAACCTTGTGGTTCAAACTGACCTTGTGGTCTAATGTATTATGCCACAGTGCCACACCAAGACTCCCCAATTTCCTATAGCACTGGAAAAAACGTAAGACCAATAGGAGTGATTGGACTTAACTAAAATAAGTTAATGAAAGATTTAAAAAGACAGAAGATTTCCATACCTTCAATCCATTTCTCACTATCCTAGTATTTCCAGACTGTGTTATTAGAAGCAATTATTGTACTTACTTATTGTTATTGTTAAATGCTATCAAGTAGGTTCCGACTCAGAGTCACCCTGTATAGGACTTCCAAGTAGCAGCAGGTGGGTTTGAACTGCTAACCTTGTGGCTAGCAGCCAACTGCTTATCCTACAATCCCACATGGGGCTCTGCACTCACTTGAACCCTGTGATTTCCACTCTTTCCTTTTTAAAAATGTACTTAAACTAGGGACTTAGCTTGGGATATATAAAAGAAATCTGTAAGTCCCCACCCCCCTTCATATATACACATAAAACCCACTGCTTTCTAGTTGATTCTGACTCATAGTGACCCTATATGAAAGATTAGTACTACCCCCAGGACAGAGGTTCAAGAAGTGTCCACAGGGTTTCCAAGGCTGTCCATCTTTATGGACGCAGACTGCCACATCTTTCTCTCACAGAATATCTGTGAGTTCGAATCTCAGATCTTTAGGCTAGCAGCTGAGTGCTTTAAACACTGTGCAAAGAGGACTCCTTAAACTACTAAAAATAGATGCTAATTTTAAATGAATTTTCAGAGAAGGAAGTGACGTGACAACAAAACGAGTAAACCTTTGGCTTACATACTACAGGAGCATGTGTGATTGGCTCTTCCTTTCACCTGTGTGTCTCCTCCGCCTGTGAGGTGTCTGTACACCAAAATCTGATTGGACGCATGTATGTGTTTGGTTTGACTGTCGGCACTGCCATGGCTGTGGAGTCATCAGCCGTCTGAGCTGGGATCCCAAATTAGTAGTTGTGTCAGTCTATAGGCAACTTAAATCTTTCTGGCTGTTTCAGGAGCTCAGATGACACAGAAGCACTAACTGCAGGGTTGGCAGTTCAAACCCAACAGCTGCTCTGTGGGACAAAGATGTGGCAGGCTGCTTCCATCAAGACTGAGAGCCTTGGAAACCCTATAGGGTAGTTCTACTCTATTCTTCAGGATAGCTGAGTCGGAACTGACTTGACAATAGTGGGTTTGGGGATTTGGGATTCTGTTTTAGCATTTATGGTAGTAACAGTACCTACTCAAATAGTTAAGGAAACTTGGTGGCGTACTGGGTTACGCTTTGGGCTGCTAGCCACAAGGTCAGCAGTTAGAAACTACCAGCCACTCTGTGGGAAAACGATGAGGCTTTCTGCTCCCATTAAGATTTACTGCCACTACCACTTAAATAGCTGACATAAAGATTTGATGATTAAAATAAAACCAGTTCAGAAAAATATCTGACACATAAAATGCTTTGCATAGACTATTATTCTTAATATTTCGCTATTATATATTTTTTACAAATTATTATTTCATTTATTTAACAGAGAGTTAAAGTACTAAATTTTATTTTCAAGTTACTACAATTAATTGTCTCTGGTAAAATCTAGAAAAAATGTCCTGAAATTCTAACCCCAATTTTGCCACTTAATTCTTTAAAATGATTTAACTGTATTTCTTGCTGCCTCCATTTTTTCAGTCAATTCCTCTTTACTGAGTCCCAGTTA